ATCTCTGCAGTGCAAATTCCAAAAAGATTAGTAATTCTGTGACTTTTAGATGAATCATCTAATCATCCTTGTACACTAGGCAACATTTGTTGTTTTTGTGTGAGTCTGTTTTGGCTAGTTTCTGCCTCTTCAGGCAGTTGGGCTCCATAGAAGAACTGTAATTTTCAAGCACCCTCTTTTGAAGTGTTTAAAAATGTCTTTTATGTTTTTGAAACACCCTTTCTTGATAATATTTTCCCTATCACTTGCTTGATGTGACCTGGGCTTATGCTCCAGGATTATGTGAGATGAAGTTGAAGTTGTTAAACTCTACTTCAAAGCTTGTAGAGCCCCTTGAATGTCAAAAGTTTGTGAGATTTAACTTGCAGTATACAAAGTCAGAAGAGAAACCCCTTGGAGAAAAACAATGGGTCCCCAGATTTGCAGGCCATCAGAGCTTGGAAGAGAGGGAAAAATGATTTTTGGCACATGATCAGAAAATAAACTGTGTCTTTGTCAAAGGTCCTGAAGGGTTCCCTAGCCCTGGTTTTGACTTGGCAGAAGATGATGCAAGATATATTAGCAGATGCCACATAGCTGTAATTTCTTGCATATTTGGAAATTCTGATCACTTGAGGACACCAACTAATAAAACGGTATTTGTTATACTCTCTGTTGTCGCATTTTCTTGGTTAAGAGAGAAGAGGAAATAGATACTCCTCTAAACTTGTAATTCGCCTTTCATTGTTGGAGTGGAATTTCAAATTGACTTAAGGGTAATATTTTATATGTTTAAGCACCAGCAACAATTGAATGGTTTCTTATGTTTTTCAAATTTGCATCTTGTTATAATATTGATTGTTCTTCTTGTTAAAGTGAGTTGTTCAAAGCTTGTTGATTGTGGTCACCTTGAACTGTTGCTACAACTGCCATAAATCATTTTTTGCTATGTTAATATGAGTCAACCTGATTTCAGGTTTCTGGTTTATCAAGGAAAAATGTCTGCTTTGTCATGTTTATTGATGAAGTTACTCTACAAACACTTGCTTTGGAAGGTCAAGTACCTGATGGAATGGGTTTCTTTGGTTTTTGGAAATTATTGGTTGTGAAGAATCTCCCATATGATGATACACGAAGAGTGGGCAAAATACCCAAGTTATTGCCACATCGACTTTTTCCTTCTGCAAGGTGAAACTGAGGATAAGTGGACAATCTCATTGATCATTTGTGTTGCCCTTTTGCTTTTGAAACCGCTGGAGCATTCTTGACTTTGGTAACTGATAACTGTTGGATTGCATTTAAGTTGAACAATAAGCCAGTTATGTTGATGATAATATCACTTTTCTTTTCCTTTTTTTCCGGTGGTAGATGATAATATCACTTTAATTGAAGAGAAGATGGTAAAAATTATTTACGTAGTTTTGAACTTTTGATATGTAAAATAGACAAGTAGCATATTTGTAGGACGTGAGGATTGTTAAGCGTCAACTGAAGAGTATTAGAGTAATACCAGTATGATATGTTAGTATAAAGCTGTCGAATATTTATGTTGCCCAAAAATTACGGTAGGGAAAAATCATTGATTCACTTCAATGGTTAAATGATTTTAGACATCCGGGGTGCCTTAATTTTTTGTTGGTTTCTTTTCTTCTTCTTCTTCTTTTTTTTAATTAGAAAAAAGCCTTCTTCCATGTCTTTAATGCACATACTTATCAATGTTGTGATGAACATAGGGATATATTTACATGCTTCATCAATTGCTTAACTTTCTTGGTCAATCAAATGAAATTTGTGTCATGTGCTGGATCCTTTATTATATGTTCATATATTAATGCCATAGTCAATGCAAAGTTTAATTTTTTTCTATTACAGATTTTGATGCAATGAGTGTGGCTGTGATGTTGAAGTAATTTGTAGGGATATATGAGCTCACAAAAATAGGATTTCTTATTATGGTTGATAATGTATAAAATATGAGTCTCCAATGGATATTTTTTTGACCCCTTGTTTTCAGTGAAAGATTATGCTCTTATAATAACATCTTTTTCTCAAAAGTTTATGCTTCTGGGTTTCTTGTTAACATGTTTTCAGGTATTCAATTTGGTTGGATAGCAAACTACGTCTTCAGATTGATCCTTTACTTATCCTGGAGTACTTCTTGTGGCGAAAGGGTAATGAATTCGCAATATCTAATCACTATGATAGGCATTGTGTGTGAGAAGAGGTTGCACGAAACAAGAAATTGAACGAGTACAATTATACTGTTATAGATCGACAATTTTTCTTTTACCAGGCTGATGGACTGCAAAGATTTAATGCCTCAGATCCGAACAAGTTTCTTCCCAGTAGTATGTTCTTAATGAATCTTGTTTTTCTTTTTGGCCAATTCTTCAAAGTTGCTGCTCGTTTGATTTGCTGTAAATGTAATTTTGTGGTACACTTTCTACAGATGTACCAGAAGGTTCTTTTATTATCAGAGAACACACCCCAATGTCAAATTCGTTCTCATGTCTTTGGTTCAATGAAGTAGATCGGTTTACTCCTCGTGATCTGCTGAGTTTTGCATATACCTATCAGAAGCTGAGAAGGATGAACCCGGACAGACCTTTTCATCTTGGCATGTTCAAGGTGGTGAAACTTCGAAAGCTTCACGTACTTGAGTGCTTGCTTTGACATTAGAAGTTTTATGCAAAATTGTTTGGTATACAAATAGAAAGAGAATGAGGATTTGCATGGAAATGATCCACGCACTCCTACTAAAAAAACTAAACTAATAGAAATAATAAAAGCTATTTAGTTATGGTAACAAAGACATGGTAGACGTTGCATAAATAAGGCGAGTGTTATGTATGTATTTCTTTTCCAGTTCCGCTAGCCAGCAAAGCATCCCCTCGTGCGATGATCCGTTTGCAGAATTTCATTGATCAAAAGGGAAAGAGAATGAAAGTTAGATGAGAAATCATATTCTTCTATTCACTTTGAAAAAGTTTAAAACAGAAAAAAGAACACCGTTCAGTAACAATAACAAAAGTAGAATAAATATGATATTTTATGATATTTTTAAAACAGCTTCTTGTTTCAGGTAGTGCCCTTACCTTTCCTTTTGCTTGTTCATATCCCAAAAAAAAGAAAAGAAAAGAAAAGAAAAGAAAATCCTTAGTTTCTGTTCTCGGGGCAGGGAGGAAATATGCTTACATGAACGCTGATTTCATGGTTTTCAATGGTTTCTTTTGCGCAGGACTGAGAGAGGAGGCACATGGCCAAATTGTTTCGCCACAGGGCTGATGAGAAACGTAGTTCTCATGGGAAAGCAGCCGAATAAAGTGGTATTTTGGTGACATTATGTAGCTAACCAGTGGGGGCAATGCGATATTGAAGTTGATATTAATGCTCATATGTAGCAGAGTCTTGTGCTACATACTCAGTGATTTCATGAATCACCACCATGGTGTTCTCGAAGTGTCTGTTGCCCACATCTTGAAGCATGAATCACATTTTTTTGCCTTGTAATTTGGGGTATATTCAACATATAGACTGAATCAACAATTTCATCTTATTTAGTCTTACAAAACTAGCAATTATACAAGTTAGTCTTTCAAGATAACAACTCATACTGTATTTATGAATATCTTTGGACTATTTTGAGCATAGGGCTAACATAAAATGAATTCGTTATTTTTAAATTGTAAGAGAGACTTGTATGCCCTCTAATTTTTAGAGATAAACAAGTAGTTACTGAACAGTTGAAAGATCATAGTTATGTATTTAGTCTAACAGTATATAAATGTTGTCTCCATTTATCACAGCATTCTTTGGAGTTATATAAGCAGAGGATTAAGTGACCAGTCATCAATAATACCACAACAGCTGCTAATCATTTTCATTTTTTAAATGCTGAATTGGCATTGTTTTGTATTTAGAACATTTTGATCGGGTCATTGAACTTACATAAAAACACAATGATTTTTGGATTTTACCTCTAATGATATTATAATCAATATTATGATGGTGATAGGAAGAACATATATTTAATGATCTATTTTATTTTTCAAGAAAAAGGTAAAATTGTCTAATTATTCAAAAAAATTATTGTCACATCTTATATTTAGGGATAAAATAAGCTTCTAAAAAATTTCTTATATATAGAGATGCAGGGAGTATTTTGATTTCAACTTCACTCATGAGTTTGAGTTATAGAATTTAGTGATAATAAAATTTTTAATCTTTTAAATTTGTCTAAACTATTTCTTTGATATTTCAAGTTTAATTTTAATTAATTTAATTATTTTTATTTTCTTAAATTATTGTGTTAGTCTTTTAAGTTTTAAAATACAAATAGACTTTAAAATTAATTTAATGTATAAAGTATGTTGATGACTTGAAGTATATGTGACTAAATGAGTGATCATTTTAATTTGTGTCAATCTAGTCCCTTATATTGTGTTTGGTTCTTTTATTTTCTAAAATTTTAGCAAGTTTTTCTTACTACAATAATTGCACTTCTTTTTATTAATCTAAATAGTTGTTATTAATATTTTATTATTCATAATGCTAGATTTTAACGCCGTTACCTCATTTTTAAACAAAAAAGACCAAATGACAAACGGGAAAAACTAAATTGAAAAAAAGAATTAAATTTGAAGGATGAAATAAATAATTAAGGCAAATTTAAGAAACAAAAAGTTTCATTTTTAAGTCGTACGGATTCCTTATTTTATGATTATATTATGGGAACACACCTATGGGAATTGTGCATTGTAAAACACTTTCTAGTTGACCTTCTCTCTCTGAATGAAAGGGGGCAAGGGGCAGAAGTAGAAGTACACAACTCGTTCTATAAATCGTAGTTAAGAAGATCAAACTGAACTGTTTAGTTGGAATATCGACGAACCGACCTTGGTTTTGGTTGAGTTGTGTTTATTGATTATATAGGCGTACGTTGCACTGATGTTATTACATACAGATCAGCAGACAGCTAGTAAATTCTCAAGCAATATGACTACAGAAACAATAACGCAAAATTGAAAATGAAATACTGATGATAACACAGCAGATTGTATTATTTTTAATCAACACACACGCCACAATTAATACAGACACAGTATGATAAAATACACTGCTAACGTTGTCATCCTATTCCTTGAGGATAAATGACCAAACCCGAGCTCCACTGATCTTATATATGAGGCAAAACACAATAGCTAATGAGCTTATTTATAAAATTCCATGACTCCTAAGACATTGGACAAAGCACGACAAGCAAGGTTGAAGCGAGAAAAGCCAGCTCTCTTGCACAGAATCTCAAACTCCTTCTCAGTTCTTTCCATTCCACCTCCTTGCAGCAACATGACAGAGTCAAGGAGGCTCAGATATTTTGCAGACATGGTCATTTCTGGATCTTGTGGCATCATCAGGTCTATTACTATCACCTTTCCACCTTCCTTCAATGCTTCGCGGCAATTCCTAAACAGTAGCACGCACTTCTCGTCCGACCAGTTATGAGTTGTTCCCTGTATGTGATTACTATTGTCAATACAAAACTTAGACGAATAGTTCGGGGATTGCATAGAAAAATTAATTCATGGTTACCTACCTTGATCATTATAGCTTCTCCTTCCGGAACACTCTTGAACATGTCCCCTCCTACATGTGTCAGTCCTTCAAAAGTACTACAGAATTTTGTTAGCATCCATCAATCAGGATGCAACTACTCCAGGTCTGTGTTGGCTATTATGCGGAAAAACCAATTCATTAAGCCTTTCTTTCAAAATTTCAATTTCTTATCAGTTATATCAGTCCTCCTAAAGGTCAAACTTGATCGATTTAGAAAAAATATCAAAATTCAGCTTCTTTCCCTCCTTCCCAATTAATTAATCACTTCTAAACAGATTTACTTTTTTTTTTTTTTTACTCTCTTTTCTTCCACTTCAATTACCTTCCGATCAGACAAGTCAGAATAAATTTTACCGATTCAACTTTATCTTTTTTTTTTTGTGAATTGAAGTGTACCTGGGAAGTGAGGGGCGTCTTGGACAACACGCGGCAGGTCAAAATTAACACCATGTAAAGAAGGATACTTGGAGATGATCATCATGAGGCTCTGACCAATACCACCAGCCACGTCCACGAGCTGAGATATTCCTTCGAAGCCTTTGTACACTTCCAGAATCTTTTCCATGTGCAGTGCAGATATTTCTGCCATTGTCCTCTGAAACAAGTTCTTCAGCTCTACATCCTTCTCCACGTACTCGTACATTCTCTGTCCATTCAATTTCTTAATGAATATGTCCACTCCTCCGTCCAGGACCGCCTCCTTGCAGTGTAGCCTATGCATTCATGTCCCATAAAAAAAAAATCCCTACACGCGCGCGCGCGTACACACACGCAAAATCAGAGAGTACTAGCTGGTTTAGTTTAATGAATCGCTCACCAGACTCGAGCCATGTACGGGTGGTAAGAAAGCTTGGGGAACAAGGAAGCCCAGGCAGGAGTACCGTCTTGTTTCTTGAGGAAGTATTTTCCGGTGGGGGAGAGTCCGTACAGCTTCTCCATGCTTCCGTCTTCTTCGTTGGAGCGAGCAGAGCAGGTGAGGACTGAGAAACTCACCAGAAAACGAAGCACGCGGTCGAGTTTTGACGTGGACACCTTAGACATCGGAACAGGAAGCTGAGAAGCAATCTCAGACACGGTAATCAGGCCACCGCCATTGTTTGGGCTTCCCTTTGCGATGATATCAAAGAGGTTCAGATCACAGGCTGCGTTTAACACGGCAGTGCATGTGTGTCCACCTGTTTGGATCAAGGCATGGAGGCAGGGATCTTGATGGTGATCTTTATGACTTTTGTTTTGATGAATCTGGTCGGTGAAGCTCATCTTTTGGCTTCCTTTTTGTTTTCTGATATGTAATAAGCTATGAGAGACAGCTTTTCTGTACTTTGGAAGCCTTAGAATGTCTTGGAGATTGAAGTTGCAAGCGTGCTATTTATACAGAGGGAAGGGAAGAGTGTAACAGTAAATCAAACGGAGTTTTCTTTGGGTGAAATGCCAAACCGTTGATTATTGCAAGGAGTTTCAACTTTCAATGTATCTAGAGCAAATGAATATTATCACTTAAAATTTTATAGTGATATGTTGACTGATGATTTATTTTATTAAAATATTATCATTTTTATTTCGTTAATTACACATTTTAATTTCTTTGAAATTTTAATTAATAGTAATAAACATACTCTTTATTTTAAAACTTATACAATATCTTGCTGAAATGAGAAAAATTTATACTCTATAATTTTTTTATAAAAAATTGTTGAAATTAAATTACATGGCCTTTCTTTTATATTTTCAGGAAAAATTGTTTTTATATTTTGAGTATAGAAAAAATATGTATAGTCTAAAAGATACTCCCTCCATTCAAAAATATAAGGTATTTTTAATTAAATTTTATCTTCAATAAAGTAGTTACGTATTTTCAAACTAATTCTATCTTTTTATATTTACTTCTATTAAACACTCTATAATAAATATAAAGTCATTATCAATAAGGGTATTTTTAGAAAAAAGACAATGATTACATCTTAAAAGATTAAAAATACCTCACATTTTTTAATATCTAACTCCTCAAAAAATATTTTATATTTTTTAACAGAGTAAATATTTGTTTAAGTTTTATATTTAAAACAGATTTACTTTAATTTATCAAAATTTGAAAATAGAAAATAGGGAGAATGACAGTAAAATAAATACTCCCTTCATTAAAAAATGTAAGATATTTTTAATCGAATTTCACCTCCAATAAAATAGTTACCTACTTTCAAACCAACCCCATAATTTTATATTTATCTCTATTAAACACCTTATAATAAATATAAAGTCATTTATCAATATGGACACTTTTGAAAAAAAATAATAATTATACTTTAAAAAATTAAAATTTTTTAATTTTTTAACTCTTAACTCTTAAAAAATACATTATATTTTTTAAACGGAGGGAGTATCATTTTTTAACAAGTTGTTTGACATTTTGGTTTCTTGAAAAATGACATATTTGCCCCGCTCCATGGTCGCTCTCATTCTCACGGTCTTGGTCTTGAATCCCACCATCCGTCCACAGCTAAACCCGCGCTACACACTCCTCTAATCAACCTCATCTTCTTCCCGATGATGGGCTTTGGCTATGTCTTTAGTTTAATCCTGGAGGTGGTGAATATGGATTTCATCTGCAAATTTCTATTTGAGCACAAGATAAACACACTTCCATCAGTGAAGAAAATTAAAAGCATGGTGATCGGTTATTTGTCATTGATCGGCTGGGCCAAAAAATAACTCCGTGCATGCGGAAGAGGAAGAAAAGAGTTTTGCTTCCCTAGGAGGTCAGTTTTTTCATCGTAGGACCAGAATTCAACGGGGGACGATCTATATTGTAATTGAGGATTGGGATTCTCACTTTACAGGGGATGGAAAATATATAAACATGAAATGTAATATTAAGTTTGAGGTTTCTCAGGACAAAGTCAGGGGAGAGAACCTGATCGGACGGACCTAACTTTTTGGCTTGTTTTTCCCCCTAGTTTTTAACTAGCCTTCTCAGTTATCAATAATAATAATAATAAAGTTTGATGTTGATGTTGGACGCGGAAGAAAGCACCATTGCAGTACAGTCATGATCCTTCTTCAACGTAACTCTCATCACTGCTCAGGAGCTTGATTAGAGACCAGGGGTGTGAGTGGCACGATATTTTTAAAACTGAACCAAATATTAGATTAGAAAGGCTAATTACTCATGATTGGCATGATTCAATTGGGCTAAACTAACGATGTAATAATTAAATTAAAAAATTATATATATGTATAATAATTTAAATATAAAAGATAAATATAAAATTATTATTTAATTTAAAAATAAAATTAAATATTTTAAATTTAACATAATTTGACAAGTCACGTGACATAACATAATATCAAATAATTTAAAAATGGGTCATTTTTTAAAAAATGATCAAATTTTTTTTAAAAAGAAAAAGAATCATTTTTTGACCTGTCTAGTTTTTAAAAAATTGAATTTAATTTTCAGCTTGCTCTTAATTCTCATTTCAAAGCAGTCTAATTTAACCCAGATTTTCAAATGATTTTTTTCAAGTTGATAGAGCTGTTAGCCTGTTAGTCCGATTTTTAAATCATTGGTGCGGCGGTTGGATTTAGCTATGAAAGCATTAGAAAATAATTATTGCAATTAACCGTCCTAGTTATTTGGCATTTATATATTTTTGTTGTCATTTATATATTTGTATAATTTTAACCGGATTAAAAATTAATATAAAGGCACGCATTTTTTTTGTCGGCCAGCGTGTTGACACGCACTTCCTGCACACGTTGTAACTTGTACGGAGTCAAAATTTGGGTGGGGAACTGCCGAACTTGGGATAGTTTCCATCTGTAGGCGCTTTTTTCGTTATCCACTTATTATTTATTTATTTATTACAGGTGGCACTACGAGCGCCGGGGTTTACCAATACGTATTTATGGGCTTATTTTAATTTTGGCCAAGTGAGGCTATGAACTGGGATGGAATTTATCAATAAAACGGACCGACGAATGCAATTACTATGCAAAGCATGATTTTTTTATTTAGCAGGTTTCTCTAAGAATAATAATAATAGCAATCCAAAAAAAAAAAGCTGTATTCAAATAAAAAGTCAAACCAAGCTACGAAATGCCATAAAATTGTGTAGAAATTTCAAATATAGTTAAACAAGCATGCGTGCATTATTTTGAATGGGATAATAAAAATAAATCTCATTAGACAAATCACAAAAGTATGATAATTACATTAAAGTTCCTAGAGATTTAACAAAATTATGTTTCCAACCCTCAATAATATAATAGAAAGAATAATTGTTAAACTTAAAACATGAGTTTAAATTGTTAATATAAGAACATAGTTGTTATTTTAATTATCACTACTGTAAAAAACCCTTTTGATGTAACCTTTTAACAATGGTTATATAAATAATCATGCTAAAAAAAAAGTAATGGCAAAATTATAAATAATTAATGACCTTTTTATATCAGTTATGTCTATAACCGACGTTATTCAACATCGATTATATCTTATAACTAATGTAGTAAATTTTAAAAAATTTTCAAAACTTTCAACAGGGGTTATCTAATTAATGGGATTGAAAGTTTATTAAAAAAAAAAATCCTAAGAAACCAACGTGGAAAGAGGAAACCACGTCGGTTTTTTTATTAACTAATGTGGTTCTCCTTATATTTGGCTTCCGTACGTTTTGTCTTTCCATTTCCATTTTGTGTGATTTTTTCAATTCCCCTTTCTCCCCAAAAGCTCTCTACACTTGCCACGCTTCCTTGGGCGCCAGCAGTCGTCCATGCCGTCAGAATCGCTATCTACTATTGCCTCCGCCGCTGCAGTCACCATCACCGCAATTTGTGGGTTTTTCAACAATGTTTTCTCTTTTCTTTGGTGAGTCTCCTCCTCTTCTTCCCCATTTCTCCATTTCCTAATTTCTTCTTCCCCATTTCAACATTTTATCATTTCCTTCTGCCATGTTTATGAGTTTTCTAGATTTTCTAATGTTTCCTTCGCCTTCATTATAGGTGGGTAGTTTTTATTCTTCTTCTTCTTCATTAATGTTGCATGAAGTATGTGGTTGCGGGCATCATTGGTCACTTTGTGTTTCTTGTGCTCTTGAAGTTGTAGTATACTAGCTTTGTTCTCTGGGCAAAAAATCAAGTGAAGAGATTAAATAAATTTTTAACAAGTAAGTAATTTTATCTTTGTAAAACTTTACTTTTTGATATGTTTATACTTTTTAATATTTTTTTGCATTTACAATTCATGCTAGAGTACTACAAACATATTATATGTTAATTGGATTACATAAGGAAGAAACAACGATTCATTGGATTTACCCAAAAGTGAGTATGAACACTTAATTTTCATCTTTAATAATTATTTACATGTACGGGATTTATCCAAAAGTTAGTATAATTTTAAATTTACATTTATTTTCAATGTTATAAACAGTTAGGACAAATAGAATGTGGATATTATATTATCTGTTATATATATGAGATAGTTGAAGTAGGAAGTACCATGAAATTCCATAAGGTATTGTTTTAATTGGTTTTGTAATTTTAGTTTCAATTCTCACACTTAACATCTTATAATATTAATTTGATTGATTTTATTATTTAGATTTTTGATACTTTGGATCCCTACAGTGATAAGGAGATTGATGCCATTTAAGAAGTATTGGCTCATCAAATTTTTCAAGAAAACTTTTTTAATGAGAGAGGTTGCTAAATTGTTAGTTGAACATATATGTATTCTAGTTAGATTAGATACAATGAAAAAAAATATCATATTAGTTACAATTAGTTGATCAAATAGTTAGATTGATTACTTTAGATACAATGGATAATTATTATGCTCATTATGTGTATATCTAATTGATTCTGCTAGCTAGTTGGCTGTTTTTATCTGCTAGATATATTTTGTAAAGTTTGTAAGTTTAAATTAAAAGAATGCTAGAAAACAAACAAGACATTAAAAAAACCATTTTCACATTAGTTAGTTGCACACTGACATGGAAACAAAATTTTTCACATCAGTTACAGAACTATCCACATCGATTATAGGTCCCAACTAATGCAGAAAGTTCTTTTTCCACATCAATTCGATCCAATGTGAAAAGTCAAAAATGAAATTTTAATAATTACACTTTTTATTATTTTGTAGAGTCAAAAATGAAATTTCCCAAAAAAAAAATATTTGATAAGTTTTACCTATTTCAATGAGATTTATTTGTTATTCTCCCTTCTTTTAAAAATATAAATAAATTATAATTCCATTTATTTATTTATTTTATTTGATCATGCAATTCGATTGTTATATGCATGTGATGTGCGTGGGCGTGTGAGAAAGTCTAGAGCTGAAGTTGGTG